CCACTCCTCAGAAACCCTATACAGGGTCGCTCTGAGTTGGAACCAGCTCAACAACATTTGATAACAACAACAGTATCCCTGGATTAAATAAACTTGATTTCACTAAGGATTTTTAAAAAATAATTTGACCATGGAATTATTATATGCCCAGGATATTTATCACCATTCATGGAACTAGTGTTCCATGAAATTAATACTCTGCAACAGGTAGTCTAAATTTTTTGAAAAGTCTTAATCCTTGGGAAAACACACATACTCAGGCCTTCAATTAGTCAGGTAATTAAATACAATAATTTGTTATTAGAAAGAGTTTGCTATTCATTTTCAAAAACCTATTCCTATTGCTCAAGTCAGTTCTGACTCATAACAACCCTATATTGTTGTTGTTGTTGTTGTTAAGTGCCGTCGAGTCGACTCCGATCCATAGTGACCCTGTATAAAGTTTCTGAGGAGCAGCTGGTGAGCTTGAACCACCAACTTTGAAGTTTAAAACGGCTTTGCAGTCTGACGCATTAGCCCACAGCGCCACACCAGGACTCCAACCCTATAGTACAGAATAAAGTACCCCATGGGGTTTCTATGGTTGTACATCTTTATGAAAGCAGACGACCACATCTTTCTCCCACAAAGTGACTGATGAGTTTGAACTGCCAACTTTTCAATTAGCAACTCAGCATTTAACCACTTCGCCACCAGGGCTTCTTTCTGTCTTTTCTTTATTTCTTCTTCCTTTTTTAAAATAGTGTTTTGCTGAGTTTTTGGTTAAAGTTTGCATAGCAAGTTAGGATTTCATTTGACAATTTCCACAGATATTATTCAGTGACATTAACTACATTTACCACAATATGTCACTTTCTCTTTGTGTTCTATTTATTCCCTTTCCAGTATTAGTTCTTTGTGCCCTTATCTTCTCATTTTTGCTTTTGAATATTTGTTAACTTTTTTTTAATCTCTTATTGATGGTTTTTAAGTTGAGCTCTAATCTTATGGGTATTACATGGGGACTTCAAAAAGTTCATGAAAAAATAAAACTAAAAGATCATGGAATTTTTTAAAAAACATTTTGAAATTCCTTTAGATCTTTTAGTTCATGTGTGCTATTCTGCTATTTGGAATCCTAGTGTGGCGCTGTGGTAATGCGCCAGACTGCAAAGCCATTTGAACTGAAAGGTCGACAGTTCAAGCTCATGGAAACCCTATGCAGGGTCACTATGGGTCAGAACCGACTCAGTGACACTTAACAACAAACAAACAACAACTCTGCTATTTTGCTAAATGGTGATCTTGGGATAGGCTTGGTTATAAGTTTAAAAGTGTCTCAGGGCTATAGTCTCAGGAAGTACTTGGTTCTCTACTGTCCCAGTTTGTCAGAATTTTTTTTTTTTTAATTCAGAATTTGTGTTCCACTCCACATTTTTCTCCTATCTATTGTAACCCCAGTCAGAAAAATCAGTGGTGGCAGCTGGGCACCATCTATTTCATCTAGTCTCTGAAGAGGTAGTTACTTGTTTCTTCTCTGAGCTTCTGGTAACCTTCTTACTGTTTTGCTACAGATAAATAGAGACCCATAGTTGTATCTTAGATGGCTGTTTGCCCCATCACTTCACTAGGATGCAGATCATGATTTTTGTGAATTATGTTATGTCAAATGATTGAGTTATCCCATGAGACTACAGGCCTAAAATTTCAAACCCATAACACCAATCTTCAAAGATGTATGGCAATGTCTGTGGAGTGTCCCATATTGTGTCTTAGAAAATGGTTATGGTTATAAAGTTATAGAAATCTTCATTATTAAACAAAAAATATCAAAATACGAAGCTATTGTTTGTCAACACATCCTCCATCTAGGTCTATATGATGATAAGTCAAAAGTATTGCTACAAAATCATAGAAACCTTTATGAAACTAAATATCAAACCATGAAGGATTGTTTCTGAACATATCTTCCATCAAGGTCTATACATTTCTAAAAACTCCTTCTCTCTAACCATACTGCATTTGGGTTTACACCACATCAAAATGGCAATTTTGGTATCCTCAAGGAACTCAAATCATTTTTCTTTTAAATATTTTGTCTTTAGTTTGGGTAGCAAAATTAAGTTTAAAGGGGAAAAATTAGCACTGTAAGGTAGATAGGGTAAGATATCCCAATGAAATTCTCCTAGGACAGCCCTTGCTGCCCTCGAAGAAAAAAAAACTCCTCAGCACAACTTTCAATGGCCATTTTAATGTAATTTTCAATTATCTTAAAACTTCCTTATAATAAAACCTGTCCTTCAAGAAAATCTATCAAGTTTACCTTTTTGGAATCCTAACCTTTTGAAATAATCTCTCTGCCTTGAATTTAACTGACCCAGCAGACACTCTTAAAGCCACTGTTTGTATTAGACCTTTTTTGAAAGCCCCCTAATGAAGTTAAGACAAGTGTATTATTCCTGAGAGAATTTGTCTGCAGCCATCCACTCATTACAGAAACATATTTAAACATATTTAGTTTGGAATAAACCTGTGCATGTATGAACTAGAACCCTAGTAGCAATATTTTTGGACATACCTTGTATATATAGAGACCAACGGTCGTTGGTGGTTGCCAGGGAGAAGAAAAGGAGGGAAAAATATGCTTTACTTCAGAGGTGGGAACATCTGACCCAAGGACTATATAAAACCTGAGAAATAATTTGGTCTGGCCCTGCCAAGGCAACCTCAGTTCCAGCCATCACATTGTTGTTGTTGTTGTTGTTGTTGTTGTTAAGTGCCATTGAGTGAGTTCTGTCTCACAGTGACTCTGTGGAGGGTTTACAAGGAGGAGCTGGTAGGTTTGAACATTCGACCTTGTAATTTGGAGTACCGTGCTGATCCATAGCACCACACCAGAAGTCCAGTCATCACATTGTTGTTGTGAAGTGCCTTCGAACTGGTTCTGACCCATAGCGACCCTGTATAAGGTTTCCGAGCAGCAGTTGGTGAGCTTGAACCACCGACCTTACAGTTCAAACGGCTTTGCAGTCTGACGCATTAACCCACAGAACCACACCAGGACTCCCAGTCATCACATTGTTGTTGTTGTTGTTAGGTGCCATCAGTTAATTAAATGTTTGAGCAAATATAGCAGGCTAATTTTTATGATGATATATTTGTATGACCCGTGAATGATATTATAAATATTCAAATGGTCCTTGGGGGAAAAAAAAAGGTTCCCACACCTGTTTTAGGTAGTAAAAACTTGTTTATTTTATTTTATTTTATTTTGATAGTTAGAAAAGAGACACTAAATGTGAATGTTATGATCATAGCACAACCAATGTAATAAGGAGTGTTTGAGCACATATAGATGAATACAGGGATATTAGTATACAGGTAGGTACAGGTACGTACATAGGTGAGAATAGATAGAAATACCTACAGATATGTGTAAATACAAATATGTGGTTGCAGGCCTATATGGGCATAATTTTATCTTATGAAAGTGGGACCATACAGTATTTGTCCAAGGGGTTTTGACTTATTTCACTTAACATTATGCCCCGTAGGTCCATCCATGATAAAATATGGTTCATGATCTCATATTATTATTTATGATTACATAGTATTCCATTGTTGTACCTAACACAATTAGCTTATCCATTCATCCATTGATGGGCAGTTTGGTTAGTGCTATTTATTTGTTATTGTGAATAAAGCAGCAATGAAAATTCTTGTGTATATGTCTGTTCATATCATTAGTCTTAGGTCTCTACGATATATACCAAGAGGCTTGGTGGTGTAGTGGGTTATATGTTGAGCTGTTAACCATATGGTTAGTAGTTCGAATCCATCAACCACTCTGCAGGAAGAAGATGAGGCTTTTTCAAGTCAAACCAACTTGATGGCATACAACCACAGTAACAACAACATATATACCTAATGAGATTGCTGGATCGTGTTGTTGTTAAGTGCCCTTGAGTCAGTTTCCAAGGAGTGGTTGGTAAGTTTGAACCTCTAGTCTTGCAGTTAGCAGTCCAATGTTTATCCTACAGCACCCCACCAGGACCTATTTCTATTCTGGTTTTTAGAAGGACTCCTTTCATTCCCCACACAAGTTTATAATTCTATAAACAATCTTGGAGTAATGCAGTTTGAAAGAGAGAGCACCGGTCTATAAAACAAACTTCCTAAAATCCATTTGTTTGGGGTTGATCTTTGTTTTGAGGATCTTTAGTGGAGGTAATGCCTGATGTTTTTCTCTTTCTTATCAGGCAGCAGTGAAGGCTGTGGTGGCCTCCTCTCGGTTGGGAAGTGCCAGCAGTCACAGCAACATCCAGGAGAGCCATAAGGCCAACCAAGATCCCTCCTCAGTCCAAGATGGCAACCAGGATATCAGAGCCATTCCAGAAAGAGAAAAAGGTCCAGAAGACGAGGCACAAGTGGCATTTGAGGCGGCAGAGGCTGAGCTGATGAAGGAGCAGGACTTAGAGGAAGTTAAAGATGCAGATCTAAATGCTGCCAAGATGGTGCCAAAAGCCCTGAATGATGAGATAAAGGTGGCCGAGACGGAAATAGCAGAAGATCTAATAGAGGAGAAGCTGAAGACTGTGGAGGCAGCAGCGGTCCCTAAAGAAGGTCAAGAAAACCCTAATCTGGAACTCGGAGTTCAGCAATATGATGTGAACCTGCCAGAGGATTAACAAGTCTTCCTTCAGATCTGGAAGCCAAGCCTGGCATTTCATGAACTTTGTCCTTCAGCAAGGAAGATGTGGAAGCATGATATTCACTATAGTGATTCTGTTTTTGAGGTGCAAAAAACTACATATATACCAGTTGGTAATCCTAGCTTCAATGCATGTGACTGCTTTATGAAAATAATAGTGTCTTCTATGGCATGTAATGGATAACTAATACTGATGAGTTAAATTTGAAATTGCAAGTAAACACAGCATCACATTTAAATGCAGACAGTTTCAGAGACCTGTGGCATACATTTGAAGTAAAGAATAACCAAGTGTTTCTTCTTTGAAAACCTAGCCATTCTGTATCCTTTGATTTCTTCACAAGGCAGTAATTCTTTTAGACTACAAGTCTGGTATTACCTGGTAGTCCTATAAGATGTGTTCCTATGATAGTCACAACATTTTACTTTTCATCATTATTGTGTTCAAACTTTTTATAAGGATATGGTTATAGGTTATAGTTGAATGGTGCAGCAAAAACACATTCCACTCAAGGGTAAGAAATTGCAGCATATTTTCAAGGGTCATGAATCATATGGCTCTAAAACTCACGTGGGAAATGCCTTCTTAGTTTATCTTTCTTTATAGATGCTTATTAAGAACAAAAATGTTCTTTCATAAAATTTTGCCATTTTACATTTGTAGAAAATCAAAGGAGACTTCAAAAAGTTGGTGGAAAAATTCCATTATCTTTAAATTCCATTTTTCTATGAACTTTTTGGAACTCCCTCATATTTACAGTCAAATATTATTGAGGAATATATGCGTACTTTCATTTACTCTTCAATAAAATGTACTTGTGATGAAAAAAAAAATTTAGGAGGAAATACACTGAGGAGAAAAGACGGGCTTAGACAAAAGAAGAAAGATTGGTTTCATGTCATTTTTGAGACAAAAATTATACTTATCCATGTGTTTTTACAACTTTATAAACAGGAACATTTTTGTGGATAAATTCTATAAGGACCAAGTTACAAACATTTTTTTAAAATCCGTTCCATAGGCTGGTACCAAAATATCTGAAAACAGTGGGAATAACATTCCATTATATAATCATTATTGACTTTACTAGAATAAGAAAACATTTTTACTTCCTTTAATGGTTATGTAGATGAACTGTGTATGAACTAAAGATATTTCTGAAAAGTTAGTGTATCTTTTTTTTTTCATAATTGAAATATAAATTCCCATGTTTTACAACATAAGTTTGAAAGTTTCCATGTAAACAAATGTAGAACAATGCAACTTCATATTTACCTTTAAAAATTTAATACCACCAAAAAAAAAAAAAAAATTACAGCAAAAACAGATTTCAAGTCAGACTCTTGAGAAGCTAGAACATTAAGCCTAATATTTTATGATGTTTTTGAGAATAAATCTAACTTTTCTTTTATGTAAATATTAATACATTTTCCCTTAGAAAAATCACACTGATTCCAAGTGTTCCAGATTTATTTCTACTTTGAGTTGAAATGGAAATTTTAACAAATGAATTATGTATCACATTTTTATAAATTTCCTTAATTAAAAAAAATATATTTTTGAAGATCAATATATGATAGTGAAAATGGCTGTCACATAAGAATCCACATCTAAAAAAAGAGAGATAGATCTTACAATTTTGGGGCTCTTCCTCAAAATGATTACATTGAGAAATGAGATATAATCTCTGATTTCTAGAAGCGATGGTAACTCAGGAGTCCTGCTTTGGTACTGTAGGATAAGCACTGTACTGCAAGGTCCGTTTGAACCTCAAGGTTGTTGTTCAAACTCACCAGCCACTCCTCAGAAATCCTATACAGGGTGTCTATGAGTCGGAATCAACTTGACAGCATTTAACAACAACAACAACATGGCAACTCAGTAGATATTTTGCACAGATCTTCCTTTACTGCTATCTTCTCACAAAGAAAACACGAACATCATATCTACCTTGGTTTAAGGGCCTGCCACTGACATGCAAGACTAGAGTCCTAAAGAGGCCAATCATTTGAGTTTAGAGAAAGATGCTTTTTCTGTTTTGTTTATCTCTTCTTATCTAGTATAGAATACTTATCCTTTTATCTCTTTCCTTCCTTCCTCCATTCCTATAATTATTCCAGAATTTTCATTTTTGCTATTAAGAAAAAGCTCACTATTTTTAATCTTCAAAAATGCACCTTTGCTGAATATTAAGATTTCCCATCTTAAAAATCAGGGGAAATAACTGTCATGTGAAAAGTCTATTTCTTGGCATTATTTTCCCAATGAGACTTAATAGACATAGTAAAACCTGCAAAATCTGGAACTTGTGTAATGTGGAAACCAATAAGAGAAGGAAAACTCAAATATTTTCCAGCAATGAAAAAAACAGTAAAACCTGAAAAACCTGGAAAAGCAGTACAATGCCATGGACTTCTGGTTCTTACAGGTTTCTCTGTAGCGATGGTAAGTATCCCATATATGTGAGGAGAGGAGGAAGGATGGAAAGGAGTCTTGTTAGCAAGTCTCAATTACTTAGAAGATGAGAATACATCATCCCTCACAGTCCATCCCATATTGTTCCAAGGGCAGTTGTTATTGCATCATTCCAATAATGTATTGATTTGCCCAAGCATTGCAAATGCTAGAGCCTATGTATATTTTAGAATTTTCCCATTGAAATATGAGTATGCAAGCTCATTCTTTAAATATATATGTAAATTGCAATCTCAAAAAAATCAATGGGAGTTTTAAATTTTGAATTATATTTTAAGTATTAAGTCCTGATAATGCCTACATAATAACTTAGACAATTCAATGAGGGGTAGAGGGGGAGTCCAAATCGATTCACAAAAATTAGTTATTAAAAAATTATTTTCTAAGATTTCATATAACCTAAGTTAGGATAAATTATGCTTACATTTTTAAAAGAACAGCCAACATTTTTATTGCTTGCTAAAACAGACTATATTATCTATCAAAGATTACTTTGACAAATAATGGTAGACTGTTGCAGATAGAGTCTAATTTGACAAACCTCTGTGTAATACCAATATACTCACAAAGAAATTTAAATGAAGAGTAATAAACTACCGTTAAGATTTTAGAGTTATTGGTTACATTATATTATTGGCTTTTGTTTTGAGATAAAGTCAGGTATATAGCATAAACTAGACTATTTTATTATGAAAAAAAAAAAAAAAACCCCACTGAAACCATGTAGATTCCAACTCAACCTAACTACTCTATATAGGGTTTCTGAGCTTATAAATCTTTATGGGAGCATAGAGCCTCATCTTTCTTCCACAGAGCAACTGGCAGTCCAGTGTTTATCCTTCAATGCCACTATAAAGAAGAATAATCTTGAATGATTTTTGCAATTTAAAAAGTTGAATTTGGAATCCCATTTTTTTCCCAAACTGTAAGAATTCATTTGTCCTCTAGATATGAAGAGGGTAGAAATCAAAATATGTAGATGTTATAATCTAGAATGAGTGCTATCTAATACAATTCAAGCCATGAAGGTAATTAAAATTTTTCTATTAACTACTTTAAAACTAGTGAGATTAATTGTAGCCATATATATTTCAACTTCATTATTTAAATTATTCATTCACATGTATTTAATGTTAAAATATTAATGTGGTATTTTACATAATTTTATACACATTTTTCAAAGTATGAGGTATAATTTACAACTTCAGTACATCAAGTGCTAAATAGCCACATGTGGCTAGTGGTTAAGGTATTAAACAGCAGTGGTCTAGTATTTTTTATTGTAAACAAGGTAATACTAGTATCTATGCTTACATTTAAACTGCCTCAGTTTTTTCAAATTGATAAATCAAATTGGCAGCCAAAGAGAAAATCTTTCAGGAATGTCAGACTTAAATAATTTGTTTTTTAAGTCTATTTGCAACGTCAACTAATTCGTATGCTTCAGAGGAGGAATAACTCCCAACGTGACTTTTGAAGAACAGTTTGCTGAACATGGTTAACTTGCCTATTGGCTACAGTCCCTGTAGTTCCCCTTTGTGTCCTGGGCTCTGGACTACAGGTTAGAGTCTCCTGATGACTACCATGGAGGCAACAGTTTCTTGTTTATTAAAATCTATTATGGGTGAACCATGTCCCTCAGGATTATACCAGAGTCTTCATCGTGTTTGTAGGCTTGAACTGTTGGACATGACTCATGTGTTCCAGGTAGTTATGTCCTTCCAGAAATCTGCTGCACCATACCAAATTTACATCGTGATGATTATATTCTGAGGAGGATGTCATCCCATCTACTCTGAAAATGGGACTATGTTGTTGTTGTTGTTTAGTGCTGTCAAGTCACTTCTTACTCAGCAACCCTGTATAGGGTTTCCAAGGAGTAACTGGTGAGCTTGAACAGCTGGTCTTGCAATTCAAACAGACCTTGCAGTTCAGTGCATTATCCAGGTTTCCTTAGATTTCCTTAGAAGGGTTTGTTTAGCACTGCCATTGCACACAGATTTTGGAAATTTTCTTACCCTCTGATTTTTCAGAACAAAACTTAAGGCTCTATAGTAGTTTTTAATGGCCAATTTAAAAAGAAAGGATCAGTTTGCCTTTGATTGTGACCTCAATTACATGATTTTTTTTTTGTAATGAGCTTTAAAGCATCTTTTGTAATCTGGAATGCTTCCCTATTTCCAGTTTAACATGCAAGGTAACTGATGGTGGGTTATCTACAGCCTGAAGCTTTGGAGAGAACCATTTTGTTCCATAATTCAAAGTTTTTATTGTACAGAAATAGCTGGCTGTATTTCAGATTGGAAAATGAGAAACAAATGCCAGTAAAGTCAAAGGATAAAATTAGGAAACAAATTATTCTGTTTTAGGAGTATTCTTGCTAAGCAAATGCAAAAAATGAAAAGTCAGCAAAGTGAATCAGCACAAGGCTTTTCTTGATGAAGGTTGACTCCATAGATAATTGACATAAATATATTGAGCATGATTACATAATTATAATGCCATTATGTAATTTGCGTGTCATTTAGAGTAATTAATCAGTCTGGTTACCTAGGTCTACTTTGGTACATAGTTTCCAGACATTTACTTATACAATAAAATTTGCAAAGTCCTTGTAATTACTGTCTATTAGGTCAGTTTCTAATTTCCTTAACCACTGAAATGTTCCTAATCAGGGTCATTGATAACTTTTGAGCATTTGCTGGTTAAACACTGCTTAATGGTCAGACTCTATGCAGTGTTTGCATTTTTTTTTTTTTTAATATTTACTGTATCGGTTTTATAATATTCAGAGCTACACGAATGAGAAGCAGAAATGTACCCAATACTTATGTATAACATTTTTCTCCAAAGGCCTTTTATTGCTCTGAAAAAGCACAGAGAGTTGCCATTCATGGTAACTTGTTTGAACATTTCCACTTTGATCTGCTGTTGTTATTCAGTTCCAACTCATAGCATTCCTGTATAAGGTTTCCAAGAAGCAGCTGGCAGGTTTGAACCTCCAACCTTGGAGCTAGCATTCCAGTGCTTATCGTACAGTCCCACACCAACCCAAGTTTTTGTCATTATTACTTATATAGTTACCACCTC